GTTGTAGACACTGGCATTACATAGTCTGACATGCATTGGTAAGACACCAATAGGGACTATTTTTTTATCAAGCTTGCAGTTGTTGTAGGGATGCTTTGCTATCTATTTTCAAGAGTCTTTCGTATTCTACAGCCTTTCGGAATCACTTGACATGGGTCCGGAAAACAATGTGAATTCCTCCCCTTTCAAGTATTGTGATATGCTCTGATTACCAGTAAGCAGCTTAGTTCTGGTGGGTTGAAGTCCTGTATTTCACAATACAAGGTGGAAGGCTTTTTGGATTAGCTGGGTGCAATGAAACAAGTACATCCAGGATGTTGGGGATCTTCCAGATGATGTTAAAGTTACACTGATCTGATACCTATTTCTCGTTTACACCAGTATTCATTTAAAAGGATCATTCAGATTCATTACGGCTTGGATCTTTTAGTTGTACCTTTGACCATCATCTCTAATGGGGTACTGCACCACACTAACTGCTGAATGTTTTAATACGATAACATTTCTCATTTGGAAGACCACATTTAATTGGCTGCACAGTGGTTGGCAATGTGACCTCTGATTGACCATCTGCTCCACTCAAGTGTGAAGTGATGAGGCGCTGGGGCTCCCAGAGTGCTGTTCTGTAGCTGAACCCTGACCAGCCAAAGAACAAATACAAGACAGTTTCCCCATCGGGATCAATGAGGGATACCCTTTAATTAGATTATAGACGGAACACATTTGTTAGGAAAGCCAGTAATAATGACCAAGGCTCCATTTTAGGGAAGCAGGAGGTGTAGTTAATCTGAGTTAAATATATTATTACCAGCTGAACACCTTGGCAGACATTTTCCCTCTGTGGAGAGAGTGCTCACAGTGCAAGGTTGCTTTGATGTAGGGTTAACCCTACTGCAAGTGTTTGAGAAGTGAACAATGAAGTCATCATTATTTAACCTTTCAAAAACCTGTGTGTTTTTTCAACTTAATTTTTCTGATTTTGTTTTTCTTATCATGACATTGGTAGTTGTACATAAGAAAGCGTCTAATGCAATATTTTTAAAGCACCAGCTACCCAAAATCAAATGCTCTTTACCTATACCGACCCTTACAAGTAGAGCTTCAATGATGAAGTGGATCAAACGGAAAAAAAAACATTTTGACAATTAATTAAAGGGGACCTATCATGCAAAATGCACTTTTATATGTCTTTTACACATAAATATGTGTCCCCGGTGTGTCTGGGAACTCACGCAGCGTCAGAAAATAAAACCCTCTCTCTTTTCCTCCGTACCCAAATCTTTTAAAAACGGGTACAACGAGCGGATACAGATTTGCTGCCGATATTACGTAATTTCGGATGGTGGGCCCACAGAGATTTGCTATCAGAAACAATGCCTGACGTGTTTTGGACGTAATATGGTATTTGTTTACATTAGCAAGCCTCGCTAACACTCAGAGCTAACCTGTACTGGAGAGCACATGTGTTTTTTAAAGAGCAGGAAATTAAAAAAAAGGAACTCACCTTGTGATAAACCTGCAAGAGAAAAAGCATTTGAGCTCCATACTGTTTCAGAAATAATCCTTGATGTGGTTTAGAACAGGATGGCGTTTTATCACAGCAGAATGTAACTTTATCTCCGGTAGAATTCTGATCTAAAGCTAAGGACCCAAAATCCGAGTTTCTCTAACAGGGCTGCAATAGAGGGATATAAGGGATGTCTAAAATACATGATCTGTTTGTATTTTGAGAAACACATCATGGACCCATAATATATGCCTAAAAAGAGCATGATAGGTGCACTTTAAGCTGGCCCGCAATCGTATGATACGTGGTAAAAAAACGTCTCTGCGCTGACGTTGCTGTTGAGTTTCTATGGAGAGAACGAAATTGTTGCCATGTTCAAAAGTTCAAATTATTTCAACTCTGACCTCTGTAGCGCTGACCTTTCCAGTTGGACGAATCAGATAACGGCGGTATGTAGCAGTGCAAGCTAGCAGGGAAGGTAACCCCATGAATATCTTTGGGCTTTTGACTAATGTACCCTGGAATTTGGACTTTATGGATCTGGAATGTACTTCATTTTTTTTTTTTTTATATATAAACCACACAATTCATCGAGAAAATTATTAACAGATTAGCAAGTAATGAGAATATTCGTATGGTTCATCATTCATGTGTATGAGATCAGATCATGTATCTGTATCATGGGGGATCTTGACGGTCTAACGGTCTTATTTTGGCATGAGTAGTAGTTTTCACCTTCAGAGTTACAACGTTCCTTTTCTATTTGGACAAAGCCTGCTAATATTTAGTGAAAAAAGACAAATATTCCGAGATATAAAGAGTAGTAAATCCGTGTGTGTGTGTGTGTGTGTGTGTGTGTGTGTGTGTGTGTGTGTGTGTGTGTGTGTGTGTGTGTGTGTGTGTGTGTGTGTGTGTGTGTGTGTGTGTGTGTGTGTGTGTGTGTGTGTGTGTGTTGTGGTGTGTGTGTGTGTGTGTGGTGTGTGTGCTGTGTGTGTGTGTGTGTGTGTGTGTGTGTGTGTGTGTGTGTGTGTGTAGTGTGGTGTGTGGTGTGTGTGTGTTGCTGTGTGGTGTGTGTGTGTGTGTGTGTGGTGTGGTGTGTGTGGTGTGTGTGTGTGTGTGTGTGTGTGTGTGTGTGTGTGTGTGTGTGTGTGTGTGTGTTGTAGTGTGTGTGTGTGTTGGAGGTGCCTGAGTTCAGCCCAGTTGCCATAGCTGGTGGATGCCCGGTGGCTGTTTATTAATGGATGGGATGGAGTGTGTTTGGGCGCCCTCCAAGAATCAAAGGAGAATTTGAAAGTATACGCAGTGCATTTATCTGCCTCACTACTCCTAATGCCCTGTCCTGCGGCACTCCAACACTTCTACAGTGTTATCGCTGCGACTGCATTTTAATAAGCAGATTGGCGGGGGCTGCTTGTGTGATGTGTTTTTGGAGCATTAGCATTGACTGGACAAAAAGTCCTTGTATGCCATTGGTATATGTAACATCTGTGTTGCTGTGGGAAGGTAAAGAGCAGCTATTTTACCTCAATAAAGTCTCCTATTGCTGAGGTTTTTTTTCATGAAGCCGAACAAAGTTTTTTCTTAAAGAAGACTTCAGAGATCACACACTCAATCATGAGTTGAAGGCCGACAAAATCGTTCGGTTGTCACTTTGTTTTGTGTCGCATTAAGGGTGAGATGTTTTCTTACCACACTTGTTGTTCCATCCCTAATGTAACATTTGGTTCAACCTTACTTGTCAGAACATGTTTCCGCTTTGCAAATTTATGAAGTAGTGTGAGCGATTCCATCTCAGTCTAAACTTTTTTCCTTTTTATCGGACAAAATGTTTTAACATATTTCAAAAGAATGATTTTGATTAAACACAATCAAAAGTCTTGGGTTGGTGTTCCATCACCTCGGTTAAGTATGAACAAACAAATCCGTTTTACATGTCTGTATTCTTAAGAAATAAATAATATATCCCCTTAGTCTTAAGTGCAGTACTTGAATATTCACGTATTTCCTTCCCACCTGTGCCACCTACCTCCTGCTCTGACCTTTTCTTAATCCCTTCTACTTCAACTGAGTCTTGTCTGCATGACCGCAGCACTTCCATTAAGCCATTTAATCCGGTTCCTGCCCACTCTCTCTGTCTCCCCGCTGACTGCCCTCTGTCCGCTGTCTGTCCACTGGACCACCCACACCCCACGGAACTCCCCCCACACCCCGCTCAGTGCTCCTTCATGTCAGCTCTATACATTACCTGATATGAGCATACATTATGCTGGAGGCAGATGAGTGCCGTTAATGCATATCAGTCGGCTCGTCTGGAATAAATGGTCTCTCGGTGCTTTAAGCTGCAGCTGCATAGTGTTTAACTGTGGCATCAATGCCAATGTATACACTTATTCTACATGTATTGGTGCCTGGTTGATATATATTTAAGCAATAGCTCACGACAGGCCGTGGTATATGCTCATTATATCACAGCTAAGGGGCGTGGTTCGGCCCGACGCAAAGCGGAGGGTCGGCAAACTGCATGCAGTTTTTCTCAGACGCAGAGGGATACTGACTTGTTGTGAAAAGTAGCTACAATTCTACCCGTGGTATACACTCAGTATATCACGGCTAAGAACCAATCAGATTGCTTGATTTGACTTGTCCGTTTTATAAAGAGCAATATCATGTCCATATTTTGGTAGATGTACAATAAGAGATTGCAAGTATATTAGAATAAGAAAATGTGTTTTTATGCATAAGCCTTATTTTCTTTATTTAAGAGTAATAAATATTACGTTTTATTTTATATATTCATATTTGATCAGTTGTTACATAAGTGTTATATCACCTATATTTATTTATTTGTTTAATTATGAAGTATCTTTTGGATTTTTGAGACGAATAGAAGCTTTTAGAATGTATAATGGTACACTGACCAAAAGGTGGTGTCATAAACACAACTAAAATAAAATACATTCATAATAGTAAGAATCAGGATCAAGTTATGTAATGTGCATTTTACAGTGTACAAATTAACTTGGTACTCTTTGATGGACAAATGAATGGTGATATACAATTACTTTTAAACATATCATCACATTTCTGTGTTGAAATGTCCTATTGGCCAACATGAATATTGATCAAGTTAAACCCATGTAGCTTTTTAACACATTTGAGATATTTCTTCTAAAACGTTTTGACCTGAACGTGTTGTGTGTTATCTCGATGCCCAAGACAAAGGGAGACAATAAAGCTCCATCTTATCTTAAAATGTGTTGATGTAAAAACATGAACCCAGAACCCCCAGTATGACCGGTTATCCAGCAGCCGGTGAAAACAGGGGTCTGACTAACTGCCTGTCTGTTTTGTTTCTCTGTGTGACAACCTGTTGTGTGTCTCATTACTCCTGGGGTAGATCTGTCTGTCTCTCCAGGTCTCTTCTCCCTCTGTTCTTTGCTCAAACTCGATCTTTTTGTTCCTTTTTGTTTTTTACAACGCATTGCATATTCAGAGGAGGCAGCATGTAGGTATCTTAAAACGACACGCACCTCCTTGGCTGCATGATTCATGCTCTTATTCTTTTAGCGTTTACTTATGGTTTTGCTGTTTTGTTGTTGCATAAGACTCAGATGAAATACTTGATTTTTAGATTTGTTTTTATTTTGCTCTTGTGTGTTTATTGGCAGTAGTGTTGGAAGCTCTTCTGGAACACCTCCATCAGTAGATTGCTTGATTGGCTTTTTGATTTTTCATAATTCTGTCTGCGCTGTTCTTTTGAGTTGTAAGTTCTTGGCAGTGTTATGAATGTTGTTTCATCTACTCCCTCCTCCTCCCCTCCCTCCTAATATTCACTCCTCTCCTACTCCTCATCCCTCATCCACCTCCTCCCTCCCTCCTCTCCTCCCCAACATCTGTTCCGTGTTGCTGCATGGTTGTTTTTATTTTTGCACGGTTTATGTAGCTCTTACATCATTTGGAAAGATTTGATAACACAGTTTTTCTCTCTCTCCCCTCCCCTCCATTTCTTTGTTTATCGTCTTTCTTTTCTTGGTCTTCTCTCTGCAGGGGAGGTGCTCTTTCAGATGGCTGAAGTGCACCGACAGATCCAGATCCAGCTCGAGGAGATGGTGAGCATGTGGTGCTAAAATCAGCACTTTCTTAAGCCACCAGTTGCGAGCCAAACAGATTGTGGGCCTCTCTTTGGAGCCTCCACATTAGTTTGATATGTAATACTCAGCTAAACAAACTCTTACGTAGCCTACTTCTATTTTCTGAAGGCAGCAGTTTCACTTAATAACACGTTTACTGATCTTATATGTAAATTACAGCCATTACAGACTGGAAACACTTTTAATTTCAGTCCCCCAAAAGATTTAATTTGAGTAAATTGGCCAATTGTGGAAACATTAGCAGAGAAGATGCTCTTTCTGGGTAATGGATGTCAATGATCCAACGCCACCATTATGCAGAGCAGTATCAATACAATTCTAACTTTTGTAACGCTGTTCAGAACTCATGACATCTTAGATAAGTGTGATAAGGGTGATAAGGGTGTCATCTTCGACAGCACACTTTCTTTCAAAACTCACATCACTAATGTCATTCGGTCTGCTTATTCCCCCCCCCCACCTCACCTATTGACTCTCTCACCACTTTCAAACCACGTCTCAAAACACATCTCTTGACACTGGCATATCCACCCTGATCACTACTCATCACACATTGTTGGGGCCAAGCGGATATAATAGTTGTATCTTGCGTAAAAGCTGCCGTGCAAACTGCAACAAATATCCAAAGTCACACAATTCTTTACTCTCACCTAGAAACAAGGACAGTACAAGAAATGATCTGTCTTTCCGTTTTCAATGCGACCCGTTCAGTCAATACGTCTGTGGGAAATACTTCAACCGTCAAAGTAAACTGTTGATATGTTAAATATCTATATATATATAACTATATATTGACGCAGATCAACGATTTCCAGAGACATTGTTTAATTGTTTGCTTCACTGAACATCATAGTTGGGGTCCTTGTAGATAAAGAGTTGCACGGTATTGTTAAATGTTTTTATGTGATTAGCTCAAACCCTAGAATCAGTTTTACCACCAGTCAAAAGACAGCGAGTGTTTTCACCTCTACATGAAGTTGAGGGAAAGTAACCGGATCGGATGCTCTCTCTATTGCACAGAGTTCCTGCTGATAGTCTATAAAATATCATCTCCCATGGAGGATAAGGGCGAGACAAAGAGGGTGAGAGGTTCCTTAGTGGGCTAATAGATTGCTATACGGGGGCGGGTGGTAGCGAAGTCGATAGGGACTTGGCTTGGCAACTGGAAGGTCACCAGTTCAAGTCCCGGCAAGACCAAGTGCTACCGAGGTGTCCCTGAGCAAGGCACCGTTCCCCACACTGCTCCCCGGGCGCCGTTCAAAATGGCAGCACACTGCTCCTAACACTAGGATGGGTCAAATGCAGAGAAACAATTTCCCCACGGGGATTAATAAAAGTCCATCTTAATCTTACTCTAACAATTGAAATATATAAAATACTTTTATTAGCATTTGCAGTTTCTTTTTGTAATATTTCCCCACTTACATGTATTCAGCTTTGCTCAACCCGACCACACATACTAAACGTGCTGAGATAGCAAATTGACTTTGGCATGCTTTCACATACCAGACATCCTCCCCTAATCGTTTGGGTGCGACATTTCCGACAGCAAGACAAAGACATCCATTCCAGTCATTCACTACAATGTCGCCCTCCTTTTTTTTTTTAAATAATGCACTGTGGTTTAGCATAATTGAACCGCTTGAGGTTCAATGTGTTTGTGGTATTGTTCTGAGGTTTCTGTGTCTCTGTGTGTCTTACAGCTGAAGTCTTTCCACAACGAGCTGCTCACAGAGCTGGAGAAGAAGGTGGAGCTGGACGCTCGCTACCTGAACGTGAGAATCCCTTTCTGATGTCACACTATTACAGAAACACCACATGATTAAGCTGTTATCAGTGTTGTTAGAGTAAAATAAAACTCTTAAAAAATAATATAAAAAAATATGATCATAACAAAATAAAACAATGATATCCTTTAACGAATACTAAAACAATTTTGCCTGGTTAAAAATAAGTCAAAAATACCTTGAATTAATTTCAGTTCAACTTTTCTTTTTCTATAATATATAACTAGGTAAAAGGAGTTGAAATTAGTTTCCTTAAACTTTTTTCTGTACCACGGAAACTGAACACACTTGACCTTCCAGGAGATGGCGCTATGCCACAATTGCTCCACAGTTGATCCCTGCTATTTATTACTTTTGTTGAAGAATTAAAAAACAAGAACATTTAAAAAATATTTTAGAATACCAAATACCATTTGACCAGTCTCAGGTCTAATGTCCGTTTAATTCTGAGTTCTCTAACCAGGTATTTTGTACGTCTATGGTGCTTCTTAAGACATTATAGATTGCCCAAACAAGTGTCAATAACGTTACTAAATAAAACAAGCAAACACACCCTGAAAACTAAGTAAAACTAAGTTTAAAAAATCTATTTCAATACTGTAATATGTTTAAAGTCTAACTCATATGTGACCCGCTCTAACGGCTCATTTCAAAATAAACGTGGATTTGCGTAAAAAACAATTTTTTTTGTTTGGGTGTTTTGTTTGATTTTAAACAAACAAAGTCTTGGCTTTCAGAATATGAAACTTTTATTTCCAAACTCACACGATAAATACATTCTTTAAGCTTGTAAAGGGAAGATGACAGGCAATCTGCTCTTCCACAGCGCCGCCCCCCCCTCCCTCCGGCTGACATTATGAATGTACGAGTATAGTAATCATAAATAACACGGCAGGGTCCGTTACAGTTTGTTTTCATCTGGTTTCAAATAAACAAAGTCTTGGCTTTCAGAATATTAAACTTGTCTCGGCAAATTCAGATGATAAATACAACTTTGAAGCTTCGGCATAATTACAAGCGGAGAACGGAGTAACTTGACGTCACAGCAGGCATAACAACAGCCGGTGTTTCTCGTGAGGGTTTTCCCCGGGAAACAAACACAATACACACAAACGCAAAATTATACAAACACACACACGTATACACACACACACTCGCGAGCTTCCCCCAGACCAGTAATCCAAACGAAAATATCTTCCCTCCGTAGTATTTAGATAATTTGATCCGCTAATAACCAATCAGATCTATGGATTTCAGAGAAGAGACAACTTTGAAGGCCTTTTTCTCAAAATGATGACTCGGTGACAGTCATTATATAATGTGACATATTTTGCTTAATATTTGGAGTACAAAAACAATCCTGATATCATTAGAAAGCTATGAATCTCCTCTTTCCAGCAGTGTATACAACTCAAAATGTGTCTTCGGGTCAATGCGACTGATTTCGATAGAGCAGGTCACATATGTTCTTCTCATATCTGCTGAACCTTATACTGTGCTGAAAATGGTGATTATTACATTTTTAAAAGCCTTACCGAACGTATTCACAATTTCAGTAAAGAAGAAACACTTTAAAAACTTTTTTTCCAACTGAAATTAATAATTGATGGCTTGAAAGCATCAATCATAATCATAACTACATTATGTAACAGTGTACATTACCCACATGCTTCATGCAGCCCTACTTTTAGCTCTGCTCCTCAAGAGTAAGGGCCTCCCCAGGGAGTGAAGTTATGGGGAATACGGTGTGGGACATCTTCTCATGAAATCAGAAACAAAATGCGCACTCTCTCCCTAATTTCCCACCGGCTTTTATCCAAACCACTGCAGAAAGTTACATAAATGACTTCCCACTCCACTGTGAATTATGACTCATTCTGTGAAAATGAGGCATTACAAAAAAATAGGCTTGTTCATTTATGGTGATCAGTAGTTTGGAAATACTCCCAGAAACATTGAATCATTTTAGACGTGTATGTTTGGATCGTTCAAATGGTCTGACATTCTGATATATCCAAATGCAAATCAGCTCTAGAGACATTTTTGTACTGTACATGTTGGTCAAATACGTTATATTGTACACATGCAGCAGACATACTTTGTTAGTTTGTGCTTTTTTCACAATGCAGGATGCAAAGTATGGACATAAAAAGCTGACATACAATGCTCATATTTGTATGTTGTGCCTCTACGAATAAAAGTAAACCAACCCCAAGAAAGATAAAAGGAATAATTCTCACATTTAAGAAGCTGGACTCAGAAGCTGGAGGCACAAATGGTTGGCATTTTTGTTAGTTAGACATATTCTCTGGGGGGGGGGGAGGAGGAGGAGGAGGAGGAGAGTGTGTGGGAGAGATTTTAGCCTTTGCAGACCATTTACATGCACACTACAGGAAACAGAAAACCCCAAAAAGCATAATAAGGCCTCTTTAAAACCTTCAGCTAATGATTTGTTTTTGCTTGGGGCAGTGTAAAAAAGTTGTCACCTGTACCACATTTTTGTACCCAATTAATTCTGTGATGCTCTAGAAACAGCCAGAACAAAGGAGGGGCTATAACTAAAGCGTAATCCCAAAGTGCCATCCTCCAGCTTCCATTACGCACCGGTCAATAAAACAGAAGCTGTCAGGCCAGCCTGCTATGATTGTATGTCCATCAGTGTTATACATCTTCTGTGGATGCTGACACATGACTGCCCTGCTGACTGTGTGCTGCCTCCCTCAGGCCGCGCTGAAGAAGTACCAGACGGAGCACAAGAGCAAAGGGGAGAGTTTGGAGAAGTGCCAGGCGGAGCTGAAAAAACTGCGCAGAAAGAGCCAGGGCAGCAAGCACCCCTCCAAGTATGGAGACAAGGAGATGCAGGTCAGTGTGTGTGACTGCAGGGTGGAAGAGTATTCATGAAGCGGACAGATGTGTGTAGGAATGTTTTGAATGGTGCAAACCGGTGCTTCTTTGGATCAATGAGAGATGAAACCGATGTCTTAGCTCAATGGCTCGAGGATCATCCTTATGGCCGGCAGGAAGACCAATTTGTAAAAATAGCAAATACATGTCTCCATGCTTTAACGTTCAAAAAGCTCTCTATTGTTCTCATACTGCCTGTGCTGCAGCACCTCTTTTCACCCTCTGTCTGAAACCAGAGCCCAGTCTGCTCTGATTGGTTAGCTGGCCGGCTCTGTTGTGATTGGTCAACCTCTTAGAGATTATCACATAAAATGTGATCGGACTAGCCAATGGAAGTGTAGAAGTAAACAAAGGAGTCTAATGTCCGAGTGTGTGGGAGAGAAACTCCCTCTGAAGGGAACACAGGGACTTTAGCCTTTGCAGACCATTGACATGCACCAAAACCTACATAACACACTACAGGAAAGAGAAAACCCCAAAAAGGATAATAGGGCCTCTTTGAAAAAAAAATGAAGGAAACAAATTAACATTTTGAAAGATTATAACCTTGTTGGTATCTGTTTCACAAGTGTGTGTACATTGCAAGGGCTTCCACAGAGCCTTTTAACCTCTTTTAGCTAATTGTTCAATTATACAGCACATGTATTTTTATGCAAATGTATAGATTTCGCAGGAAGACCAACATTTATCGTTACAAAAGCCTCTGCAAAGAAAAATGATCCAATTGGCTTCAGATCAGTATGTGGCACATAAACCCGGCTCTTGAGAAAACATTAGTTTCTCATAATTCGCTGGGTCTTTATTTCAGCAAAGTCAGAATTATGTTCACCGCGGCAGACTTAAGTGACCTCATGCTGACTCTGCGCTGTAGCTCTCTCTGGCTCTCCCTCCTCCTGAAGGGATTTGAGCTTCAGTGCGCCGGGTAATCCGTGACACTGCTGATAGGATAGGACGTGCTGAGCTGAATGCAATGGGACCCCCGACTGGGCACACACAGTTTCGATGCCAGTCTGCCAGGCTCTAAGCAGCGAGAGAAACGGAGGTGGCAAAGGTTACAACTGCAGCAAACACATGGACTCATCAGCAGAAACAGTCCCAACTGCAATGTTACCATGGTTTTGGAAGCTGAAAATACAGCAACATTTGTACCGCAGTATAAAGGAGAGCTGATGTGTTCAACCATGGTAACAATACAAAAATACAGATAATTAGCCAACAAAAACACCTAATAAAATAAAAGGGATCGAGTATTCACAAGAAATCATGCGGTCTAAGATCTGACAAAATGGTCAGATAAGGGACGTTAGTACATTTTCTTCTTGAAGCGCAGTGTTAAGGATTTACTAAAAGTATAGAATCCCCTGAATCATCATGTTTGACAGACTTGTAGTGTATGGTTGTTTCTGAATTTGTCAATACCCTGCAGCACTTTGCCTGGATTTCCATTTTTCTTTTGCTATTTTTGGTGCGTTCTTTTGAAAAATCCTAGCGACCATGTCCCAGATTGTAACACGCATCCAAGATAAAGCTGCAAAAATAGACAGAGTTCCAAATAACATAACTAGGAGAAACCACAGTGCTTTACTTATTTATTTTGTAACCAAAGTGCTTCCTCAACTTCTGACTGCATAAATCTGTTTCTAGTTGCTGCACTTTTTTCAGTATTACATAATATTTGTTTACAGTATCTAGGGCATTTGAGAGGGTTGAGTGAAACATATTTCTCTCCGCTCAGGTAGCTGATTGAGCGGAGGCGTGAGGAGACAGTTCTAGTCTGTAGGTGTTCTGGTGACACATGGTGGACGCGACCTCTCACACAACCTTTACAGGCCATGCTGATGTTAGCTGCTGTGATGGCTGTCAATCAGCTGCTCCTCAGCCAATGACAGGCAGGCAGAGAGTGAAGGAAAGTGATAGGGAGTTACAAGCCTGTATATGATATACTCAGAGGTGGAGGAAGTACTCAGATATAGATACAAGTAGAAATACAAAAGTGTAGGCATCAAGTACCAAAATTAAGAGTACTTCATTTTAGAATCTTTAATTATGGCTGCATTATTGTGTTCATCACGGCTGGTCAAGGTGGGGGTACTTTTAATGACTTCATATACTACCGCTGGACATCTTAACCTATAATTGTATAGCATAGTTGTTTTATTAGTTTACTTATATATCGTATTAGCTAATCATTTGTAAAGTAAATAGTAACTGTCTTTGTATGTAATTTAGTGTAGATGTACTGTATAAAGAAGCATACAATAAAAATACTCAAGTAAAGTACAAGTGCCCCAAAATCGTACTTGAGTAAATGTACTTCACTGCATTACACCTCTGGCTATACTTCATGCTGTACGCTTATGTGGATGTTCCACATGTTTTGTCCCATAATGTGCTTTTATTTGATAAATTACAAGAACATAATGGATTCTTTTCAGATTTTGACCTGACATTCAGTATGTGCCGACTGAAAAGTCACACACACTTCTTGTGGCTGTCAGCGGGTTTCTGTATAGAGCGACAGGACAATTACTCTGCTTTCTGCGATAAGCTAACTCTGTTGCTGATGGACTTCTGTTGTTTAATTTCTGCCTTATCAGCACACTAGGTGTCAAAAGTGAATAATTACATTCACAATGGAACAGGGAATATGGGGCTTTACTCTGACGAACACAGCACAATTGAAGGTCCAGAAGTAAACAGCAGTTTAATACACCTGGATTCCTGTTTAGTTTACGAATGACTCAGTAAAGCTGAGGAGAACAGGTATGAGATGTGACTGAGGTCCCTGGCCTGGTTTGAACAAGGAGGCTAATCATTATGCATCGTAATCTACAAGTCCATGAGGAGGACCCAGAACCAGGCTACTTCTGAAAATGTTTGTAATTAAATGTACTTTGACTCTAGGAAGAAAAGCTTGAAATGATTGCTTAAAGGCTAAATAAAAGGGGCATAAAGATGAATCACAGAAATTCCTTTGAGTCTGATCAGATTCCAGCTTAACTGTTTTTGGGTAGGCATCTCTTAATGTTATTTATACAAATGTAATAAACCATGTGTTATTACAGTCTTCTACTCTGTATTTTAATTAAACAAAAAAAAACTAATAGGACAGACTCAAAGCTCGATGATTTTAAGGCAGGTCATCAAGCAAGACCCCCAAAAACGGTATTCGGACAATATATAATAACATACTACAATAGAAAAACGATGTGTACAGTAGGAGAATATGTGGTTTACATACTGTGTAGGACTGAGCACAGCGACAGGGTAACTGCATCCCGTCAGAGCCTGAGGCGGTCGCCCCCCCGCTCTGCAGGAGCAGCCGGGAACGTAATCGTTGTGTAATTGTTAGTGTTGCTTGGACGGATGGCTGGTGGAGCGTGGCAGGGTCGGCTCCGGTCGCTACAAAGATCGATACATGGAGCTGTGAGGAACAGCAACACTCAGCCCTGAAGTCCAGCAGCTCCTCTGCAGCTTAACGGATGATCAGGTGTGAAAGAGCCGGGCCCAGCTGAGGGTCCAGGCCTTTTCCCATGATGCTTCATCTCTTTGAGACCAACTGAATGTCCAGGAGTGAACACCTCACTGATTTGAATATCAGACCAGATCATAATATTGCGTTCATACAGTATAGGCATGTGTCGGGCATCGTTAACAAGCTAGATGCTGGTAGAATATGCAAGTGGCTAGTAGATTTGTTTTAGCCCAACAAAGAAAACAATGGCAGTATATTGAGTGGTTGGTAGAATTTGAACAAGCCATTTGGTCAGTGGACAAAAAAAGTACATTTTGTACCCAGTCAGGTGTGTTATAAACCTCCATCAAGCTTATTTTTTGTATGGCTGTTACCTGTGTGGTGGGATTTTACTTTATCAAATGTGGATAAAGAATCAAACCATTCATCTGTCTTTGAGGTATTTTAATTCTTGCAAGAACGTTCAGTCAGTCATACAGAGAGCATACAGTCTGCAGAGTGAAAGACGAAGAGTAGAGTTTGGGTTGCATATTTTAACAGAGAGAGGAGAAAAGGGACGGTCAAGCTTGTTGATACATAATGAAAGGAGCATTCTGGAAGGTAGGGAGGACGTATCAGGATGTTCTCAGTTCAACAGAAGTTGAAGGTCATACTGTTGGTGCACAGAGAGTGTAACTAACAACACTGCAACAAATCTTCTTAATGAAGAATTTTCCCAAGCTTAGCAAAGACCTGAAAGCCAGTCAACATAGACAAACATTAGCAAATAAGAATCACACAATGATATTATTAAAGTAAGTGAGTATAATATTTTTCTATTACACCTGTTAGCAATATCTCAGTCTTTTCACTGTTATTTCAGTGAATTGTGGTAGAACAATTGGCCAATCATTTTCACGGAGCCATTTGGGAGAAAGGGGTTCATAGAATAGTCCTGAGTAGCATGTGTATGGAAGGAGTGTGTTTAGTTAGTCAGAATCTTGCTGTGCGTCATATTGGCTCTCGAAGGTCAGTGGGACAATACACACATTTTATAACGTGCAGGTGTGTGTTCATAACCTCCATTAAGCAGGTTATTTTTGTATTTGTTGTATGCTTGTTAGCCTGTTAGCGATATCTCCGTATTTTCCCTGTGTTTCTGTGAAATATTGTTGAAGTTCAGCCACTGGTCAAGAATGAAGGATTATGAGTTCCATTTTTGGTGCAGATCCATTTGAAAGAAAAGACTTCATAAAATATACAAATGTGTGAAGCATTTCTGCAACGTTTAGTGTTTTAGCGTGTTGTGGACCTCCTCAGTAGCATGTGTATGTACGGAGTGTGTATAAGTAGCCAGATTCTTGCTGTGCGTCATATTGGCTCTCGGAGGAACCAGGTCTTGGCAGGAACAGGAGACGCCAGTGGCCTGAACTGGGAAACTCACAGCCAAACATAAAAAGAATACATTTGCCTTTTGATCATACAATATGGCGTACACACTTAT